TCAATTCCCTGCGAATTAATACAGCCTCCTCATCTACAGGATCCTCTATAAATGGACATGCCATTTTGGTCTCTGCGTGACAGAAACATGTGCAATCTATGAATGTACTGAAAGATTAAATGAGGTATTAAACACCTTTCACTTTAAAAAGGGGCGGAGACCGGAGGAAACTCTGGGTTTCCCGAACAAAACCTGCTCCCAACCAGGTTAGGTTCACAGAGTAAGTTGCCATAGTAACTGACTCTGAGTTTAGATTACCTCTCTTTTTGAAACGGGTTTAACTTACCCCGCTTTCACGGGTTTAAGTTACCTCCGTTTCTGGAACCGAAAACTCCGAGTTTCTCTCATTTCGGGGTTAACAAACTCTGAGTTACAACAAAACCTCCTTCTTGAAACGGGCCCCAGTACTGATGTGTTGTCTTCTTCCTCTTCAACTTTGTTTCCCAGCAGCGACTCATAGTGTCCCACCCGAGTCTGGACCAGTTCTAGGTCGGCTGATGGCGAAACTCCTGAGAAGTCTGAAATTTTTGTTTTGCTTATATGTTACTTAAACTGTGGTGAACTCTGTCCACTCAGAATATCTGAACTGTCTGTTCAGCAAAAGATTGCACAAACTGTCCTTGATAAAAGTATGCACTACCTGATTCTGTCATCTCAAGACAGACTTCTTTCAGTGTAGATGTAGAACACGTGTAATGCTGTTGTAGATTGCTCCTTTCTGCAGAAATAAATCTCACAAAGACAGACGTGTCTTTGACCTTTATTGACACTCCTCACCAGTGAACTGGACTATCAAGGCACAACTTTTTCCCCACAACGATCTGGACCAAGAACCGTTTCACCAGTGTCTGTCACCAGTCATCATGGACTATCTGTCCTGCTTTGACTGTGTGGCTGTAACATGACTCAGTGTTTGTGCTACTGGAGCTTTAAGGTCAATAAATGGCAGTGAGCTTCTGTAGTGTCTGCTGTAAGAGAGCAGGCAGCAGTCGAACCTCTGAACATCCCAGAGTTTCAAAGGTATGAGTCATTGGAACTATTACCTAAATTCTCAGTAAGCATATTAAAATGTATGGAACCCCAACATGACAAATAGTTCCAAATGATAAAATAATCACCAAGCTTAAATAATGACAACACTTTATTGGAGCGGCTCCAGACAGCAGCACACCACCATCTCTACACACCTTCTAGCCCGGCTGTGAAACTCATTCATCCTCAATTGTGCAAAGCCACTTTTTTCTTTTTGCTTTAGTCAAACTGAAGCTTCCTGTGCATGTGCATTTCACCTGGTGCTCTTCAGACTCCTCCTCCTGGAACATTCACACCTCTGTGGGGACCTGGGGAGACAAAAACATCTGTCAGGTCTCACGTTTTAACGTTTAAACATGAAGTCAGTTGTCAGGAAAGTGACGGCCCTGTTGTGATTAATGGAAAAAGCATCTTGTGCAGCGTCTTGTAATGTCACCTACAGCGCAACACACTGTGACATTCAATCAGTCTGGAGCCGTTAACGTCTCGGTTCCCTTCTCGCTGCGGAGCCTTACAAAACATACAACAAACAGTGATTCAGAGAAATTAGTTGGCAGGCTCCAGGTTGTCTGTACTGCAGAGTAGAGAGGTCCTGACCTCTGTCCCAGTGTGACGGCAGCTGCTGCTCCTCCTCCTCCTCCTCCTCGTTTGTATCTCTCGTCCTGTGGCACATCAGCTTCCTCTGGTTCATCTCTGTCAAACAGAGACGAGCAGATAAAATCACAGATGACTCGATATCAAAAAGCAATTACGGTTAATAGTAGATTTGTGTTTGTATGAGTTTAAACATTTTTCTTGATCCTCCACTGATGTGCAGAGTTAAGCCAAGAATGGAAATAAGAGTTATCACATTAAACAGGACTAACATGTACAAGCTACATGCGCACCCACACACACAGTGTCACAAACTGTGACAGCAAGGGGCCACAACATCAGATCACATGACAGTAGACAAATTGCAGGATTTATCAGCACTTACTAGTTTTAATGACTTGCACAGCCTTGGAAACTAATTCGTGTTCTGCTGTTGTAGATAACTCAGCTAACTGAGCTCGGTGCCTATTAGTTAAAGTGACCCAGTGTGTGAGAGAGATGGTCAGAAAGGTTGTAGAACATGTTGGCACTTAAAACTTAAAATGTCACAAGTATAATTACTGCTATTAATTCTAACTTTGTACTTTGGAACATAGGAGCCAGGTCAGTGCGACTCTATGGGCTGCTGCGTATGCTGGAGAAGTCGTCACTCTCTTTAATCCACTCTGGATGCAGATCTCAGCTGTTAGCCATATTCAGCTGTGTCCAAATTCTCTTCAAGAGTGAAACATTAACTTAGCTGACAGCTTTGTCTGCATCAGCGGTTCCCCAACATAAAAACAGGAAACTGAATAAATGTGGGGACAGAACTGCTCTCACTCAGCTCTAGACTCTCAGGCTGCTCATATTTAATGGCAGTTTTTTGCCAAGTAATAAACTGCAAAGCCACCAAGAGGTAACTTGTGTTTTCCTGCTGCAGGCTGAGCCTCTGACCTGGTCGCTGCACAGCAGCATCTTGTCTCCTCCTGGGGATCATGTCACAGTCTCCCCACTGGCCTTGGTCTGAGGTGGGAAGCTCTTGTCGACAGAGTCGGTCTGAGGAAGAGTTAACACATATATCTAACATGACAGGTGCATTCAACAGCTGATCACGATCTTCATCTGAAGATGTTCAGCGAGAGGTTCCCGCTGGATACTTACCCTGGCATGTTCTGCACTGCTGCTCACAGCCAGACACGTCCCCGCTGTCACCGCCGGCCGGCTCCTGCTTACAGAGGTCATGACCTTCCTCCTGGTCAACTGCAGCTGAAAGGTCTTTGTACCGGCCTTGTTTGTGCCAAGGTTTGGCCACATGTCTCGGTGGAACAGAATGAGGCTTCCTGGGTGCAGAGTGCTTCCTCACAACCACTCGGACACGTTGCTCACACCCTCTGCTGTACTGGCTTTCCTCCTCCGTGTCTCCGGCTTCATCTCTGTAGATCTTGGAGCTGCCCTTTGCCAGGCCTTTCCCACAGCAGGCACACACAAACCTCTTTGAGCCCGGCGGCCACACTTCTACTTCCTCAGCAGCTGGAGGTGATGCGCCGACGATCTCTGTGAGCGTCCTGCCTGTGTAGACGTGCTTCGGGAACAGGTCCGCATCCTCCAGGTCTGTGGAAAACATCTCGTCTCTGGAGGAAAGCTCGTCCAGAGATGGACTGAGAACACTCAGCCGCTCATGGGTAGTCTGCATGGACAGGTAGTTGTAGTAGTAGGGGGCTGCAGGAGAGGAGAGGCAGCCAGACGTGGGGGTCAAAACGGTGTCGAAGGGCAGCTTGAGGATCTGACAGCTCGGATTGGATTTGGCCGCCAGGATCTGATGCTCTTTGTCGCTGCTCTTTGTTTCGTTAAGCACAGGCTGGTTGGAGGAGAACAAAGGTGCCAGACATTGTGCTGACGTCAGGAGCTCTTCAGCGTCACGTCTGGAAGCACTCTGATCGGTCACTAAGACATCTGACTGGATTCCCGTGACCTCCTCCTCAGGTGGGAGGAAGTGCTGCCCTCCTGCTAGCTGCTCGAGCTCAGGGCACTCTTCATGAACAGAGGAGCTGTCAAGAGGCAGCTCCTCTTTCAGTTCTCCTGACCAGCAGCCCTGAAGGCTCAGGTTGTCTAAGCTCCTCTGGCTGGTCTCACTATCGTACACTGCCGTGGTTGACTCAGTGAAGGTCAGAGATGGTGACATCATGTGGCTGTTGGGTTCTGCACCCTGCTCTCCGTTTTTCTTCTCTACTCCTGGAGAAAGCATCCCAGAGCACTGGAAGGCAACACCAGAGTCCAGTTCTCTCCCAGCGCCCTGCAGCTCGCTGACCCGAATTTTATCCAGGCATTCGATGAGCTTCGTTATGGCATCGCTGGGGTCGGTTTGAGCCTCTGAACAGACCGTTTCTCGACGCCCGTGAGGCTGCGGATTGTGCTGCTGGCGAGGCATGTCGCCCCAGGCAGGAACAGGGAAGCAGGGTTCAAAGATTCGCCTGTAATCCACTGGATATATGGAGGCATGTGGGAAGACGAAGCCAGGATACTGCATGTACTGGTAAGGGTGTATGCAGGGACGGCCAAAGTTAAAACCTAGGAAACACACACAGTGAGCACTTTATGTGATCAGCACTGTCTGACTGCAACTAGATTAGGGTTCA